ATGGGGCCTACCGTATATTTGCTTACCATAATATGGTGCTAGTGTGAAGCTTTCATTCTGCGTCCAATTGCCATTAGACAAATACACGAACGTAGGTAAATGCGTTAGTGAGGCACTTTATAAAATATTTACATTTACACAACGAACTTAACCACTTTTAACAGCAAATTAACAAATAATAAATTACGCTATGGGCGCTCGTTCCAAAGTGTAGTTTCGAATGTAGAAGAACAAGCAAGAAACTCCATCGTTACTCTTTTAAAAAAATGTTTTTACAGTTTCATTGATACATTATCTGCTTCTTTACCTAATGTATATATATGTGAGAACGATGTAACGACAATACAACGTCAAAATATAATGGGAGTCCGAAGTCAACTCCTGAAATAAAATAAAAAGCTATGAATGATCGGTTCAAACATGGTGCCCACTTACAAAATGATACTATACAGATAAAAACTACAACAACTACTGAGTGTATCGAGTATTGTCTAGTGAAGCCGGTCCAACATGCTGCCAAGCATTCTTATTATTTTTTTTTTTATAGCATAAGCCGGTAAACGAGCAGACGGATCACCTGATGGTAAGCAAACGGCGCCGCCCATGGACACTCGAAACACCAAGGCGTTACAAGGCGTTAGGCGTGCGTGGGCCTTTTGGGAATTAGGAATTTGAGGATTGTGGAGGATTCGGGGATTCGGGAGACGGGGACTAGGGACGGCGACTATGGTAATTAGGCCTCCGGTAACCTCACTCACACGTCGAAACACAAGACAAGCGTTATTTCACGTCGATTTTCTGTGAGGCCGTGTTATCCTCCGGTCGGCCCATTCGTGCCGAAGCATGGCTCTCCCACACTTCTTCAATATAATCTGACAGTTTATAGTACATACTTTTTACATAGTTAGCGTTTTATGCAAATTTTTTTTTCATTAACATTCAATATATTTTTTGGTAAATTCGAGTTCGAATTAGCTAATGTCACACCATTGGACGTTCAATATTTGACAGCTGCTGTGATTGGACGAAAAAACCTGTTCCTACATTTGCACCATCTAGTGAGCAACGGTCGCTTCGTTAAAACCGAAGTGTTGATCACCAATCGCTGCATAAACTCTGGCGTATTGCGTAAAGGTACATTTGTGATATCGTTCGTAGGTTTTTTTTAACAGGGGAAAATCATTGAATGACTGCTCCCGCCTAGGTGAGGCGGGAGGGAGTGTCAGACTCTTACTGACTAAAAACCACCCCGTTCCTTCTTCTGCACGTCGAGCCGGAGCCCCGACAAACCCGTTAGGTTCTCCGCGACTCCGAATCGTTCGTAGGCTTAAGTTTGACTTCCGACATATGCAAAGTACCTTCACAATATTACATATATCTACGATTGTTATGTAATGCACGTATTCTATAAACGATGTGTTCTATAAAACCATTTATAACCGGTATTTATGTGGCAATCAACTCACACTTATTATATGGTGACGGTAATATAGTTACTTAGCTAGAACTTGTTAGTAAACAACATGACACGAACACTTTGAGTTCACTATTACAACCCATACCTTTAGGCTAAATAGTCGTAATGTTACAATATCTACCAAAATTGCATTATTAAGTGGCTTGCTGATGAAGGGTCTAAAATTTGATTCTTTGGCAGGGCAAATTCGTATCGGTTTTAAGTAAGTGCTTATTACGTTATCTGGAGCGGCAATAAAAGGCAGTAAATTCAGCTTCTATTACACAGGAATGGAAGTCATATCATGACTGGCGAAAGGTGGATGTTATATTTTTTATCTTTGTCTATCCCTTCGCACAAAAGTCATGATGATTTTATATTAACATAATATCACGCCTCTGAGTAGGCAGAGGTGCACATTACGGCACTTAATGCCACAATGCAACACCCAGTTTTCACTATTTATGTTATGAGTCCCATGCAATAGGGGATGAGTCTATTCCCATATACCGGATTCCATATTACGCGCTGACAATTTTTTTGACAAAACCTGTAACACTGTCCGATCCAGGAATCGAACCCGAGACCCCTTGTCCGCCTGTCGCACTTGTAACCACTCGGTCAACGAGACAGTCATTAACAGAATATTGTAGTTCCAGGTCTGGATAAAATGAAATGGGTAATGGCAGAAAGGGATTATATTCAAGTCCTACAATCAGACGTGTAGACTCCACAATGTCAAGTAAAACACTATAATAGAAGTGACTCAGAAGTGGTTTTAAATTGCCATAATAGCGTACAACGCCATACGGACCTACAAACCTGGTTTTTAGTGACGTAACAAACATGTTCTATAAGGTTGTGTTACCAGAATATAGAACTTGTACACGAATTTCTAATGAAAGTCTTTATAAGTATGACGGCGTAGCCACAGCGCCGTCTATTATTTGTTTTGGAACTAAGATGACATCTTGCTACAAAAGTCATTCTGACGGAGCGTCAGGTCGACAACAGCGCCGCCATATTTTTGAACGAGACTACGGTTATGAATGGCGTGCGCGAGACATCTCCGACGAACCGTCAAAGTTCCGCACAATCTTATAATTTTTCATAAAGTTAGAGTTGGATTAGTGATGATTATGACTCGGTATTTTATCTTATGGTATAAGCCGGAAAACGTGCGGACGGATCATCTGATGGTAAGCAATCACCGCCGCCCATGTACTGTAACACTAGAGGCGTTACCGGCCGTTTGCGGATTGGGAATTTGAGGATTGTTGGGGTTTCAGGAAATGGGCAGATTGGGGAGGGGAGTTATTGAGCCTCCGGTAACTTCACTCACACGACAAAATTCAACGCAGGTGTTGTTTCACGTTGGTTTTCTATGAGGCCGTGGTATCACTCCGGTTGAACCGGCCCGTTCGTGCCGAAGGATGGCTCTCCCACACTTAAAGGTGTTATTATTAACATTAGCGGTTCTGAAAACGTTGTCTTTAGTAATGCAAGTCATACATAGGTACATATATACTGGAATTGTTAACAATACAGCATTTACTCAATGATTATATGTAGGTACATATTGCAGTGAATGACATTAAAACAATTGTCCAAAGTCTGAATATATTTTCATTATTAACATAATTATGTAGATATACATAATAGTAAATTATAATATTAAATTATATGTAATCTCGTAGCCCCAATGTAATTGTAGAGAATTTTTAAAATAAGTCAACTGCGACAAAATATTAAAATAATTTTATCATTAAGGACATCTTTTTCATTACGGATTTTAGTCATTTTAATAGCTGAGTTGATATATTTATTTATCTTTTAAATAAAACCATGGGGCAAAGGTACCTTCATAATTTCCATGCAAATATTACAAAATACAAAAGTAGGTAACTAACTGTTCATTTATTACACGTTTACTGTTCGACTATTAAGTCGAATTCGACATGGACACAAACATATTATATAAACTCACGCTATTGCCCCACTTAAGGCAAGCACAAAACAAAATATATTACGAACTCACACTTTGCCCTCCTCAACATCAACAGTCATAAGTATGATAGACAGCATTATAAAGTACCGTCAAAGCAAATTTATCTTCTAAGTATGAACATCAATAAAATACTTAAATATAATGTAAGTGTAAAGTTCCGATGAGAATGTTTTCCTGTTTTATAATTTTTATTGCACTTGAAATATCGGAGATCCCTCATCTCCAATTTTTATATCCCTAATTCCCAAAATCTCTGTAACTCACTCGTAACTGGTTGATGCCGCTTGCTAGTCATCAGTCTAGTCGATCGCTCACGTAGCACAAAAAATGCGTGTATTTTATGTCATACATTTTTTTTAAGGGGGGGAAATCATCGAATGACTGCTACCGCCTGGGTGAGGCAGGAGAGAGTGTCAGACTCTTACTAACTAAAAACCACCCCGTTCCTTCTCCTGCACGTCGAGCCGGAGCCCCGGTAACCCGTTAGGTTCTCCGCGACTTCTGTCATACATGGGGGCGCTATTTTCGATACGCCAAGTAGCGCTATTACCAGGATAGAATTGAAAAAAAAAACAGAAAATATTTTGCCCTACCCTGGAACCTCCTTCGGACATAGCTTGCTTCCAAATGTGAGACGGAAAGCACTGACGTAAACTACTAATGAATAATTAGACGAAATAGTTAGGCACTTTAAAGTTACAAGTCTGTCTGATTTTTTGACGCCACAAAAACTGTACGACTGCCTCGTTGGCCGAGTAGTCGTAAGTGCGACTCCCGGGCAAGGGGTAAGTATTACTGGGTTTTTAAATATTCTCAGTAGCACGGAGTCTGGAATTGTGCCCGGTATATAGCAATAGGCTAACCCCCTATTACATGGGACTCATAACATAACAGTGAAAAGTGGGTGTTACATTGTACAGTGGCATAATGTGCACCTCTGCCTGCCACTTCGGGGATAAAAGGCGTGATGTTATGTTATGTTAAAAACTGTACGTTTATTTGCACATCATCACACGTCGTCGGTTAAACATTTATCAATATTTTCTTACCGTCGTCATTGGAGCGTGGTTGGAGGTCAATGTTTTAATTAATTTCAAGTTTTTGAATAATTTTTTCTAACATTTTCGTTTGCATAGGCATATTTTGTAAGACAAGTTTATGTAGACGCCGGAAGATTAAACTACCTAACACTTTGATTATTCTAATAGATTTTCAACCTTCTTTATAAAGTCAGAACTGTTTTGTCTAATGGATAAGTATGCCTAAGAAATACTCTATTCACTGTCTAGGGCACCAGGTTACAGAAGGGCGCCGCGAAACGTGCATGCCAAACAGCCCATAGAGAGATGGTGGCGCCAAAAAAATATAGGGGCGTATATAAGGTGCTTGCCCAGACACTCTAGATTTAATCTGCTTCTGGATAAAGTTGAGAATCTACTAAGGAATTTATTTTTTTGGTATTAAGAATGTCATGGTATTGAAGCATATATATTTTTTTTAATGGGTGAAAATCACCGAATGAGTGCTCCCGCCTGGGTGAGGCGGGAGGGAGTGTCAGACTCTTACTGACTAAAAACCACCCCGTTCCTTCTCCTGCACGTCGAGCCGGAGCCCCGGTAACCCGTTAGGTTCTCCGCGACATTGAAGCATATCATATGGTAATGATTTAATCGCCCGTTAAATTTAATTACCATCAACGCCTCGATGGCAATTATACTATTAGACGCATTCTTACATGCGCAACATTCCGTACCGTAGTTGGTGACACTGTTTGTTCTGTTAAATCGTTGCTTGCCTCTTGCTGCTACCATTCACTCTTCTCTGCATCACCCAAAGGTCAGACTGGGAGAAAATGCCTGCGGCATTAAGTCCACCTTGTGTACACTTTGTGCATGTAACTTAAATAAATAGATATTTGATTTTTTGTAGTATAATATAGTTGTATCTACATAATTCTTTTATAAACCACGTTCAAGAAACCTACTTCAATCCCCTCTTTTATTGAAGTCGGTTAAAAACACGATTTTATTTCCTCTGAAGGAGTATTCTAAATTCCTGAATAAAACTGCTAACAGTAATTGTGCTTTGCGATATTTCGCGCTTTCCAAAAATTATATTTTGTTTCGGTAACCTTTTCTAGTACAGAATACGATGATAAATCGATTCGATATTGTTTAAGTAACATAACATAACATAACATCACACCTTTTTATCCCCGAAGGGGTAGGCAGAGGTGCACATTTCGGCACTTAATGCCACTGTACAATGTAACATCCACTTTTCACTATTTATGTTATGAGTCCCATGTAATAGGGGGTGAGCCTATTGCCATATTATACCGGGCACATTTTTCCAGACTCCGTGCTACTACTGAGATTTTTAAAAACCCAGTAATACTTTGCCTGACCCGGGAATTGAACCCGAGACCCCTTGCCCGGCAGTCGCACTTGCGACCACTCGGCCAATGAGGCAGTATTGTTTAAGTACTCGATAATAAAACTACTTTTCTCGAGTCAAGATGAAGTGGACTCATGGCTCAGTTTCATTCGCAAGCTAACAGCCAGTGCGATCTCGCGTGTGGTACAGACCGAATAAAAAAAACAAAATTCGTAATTCGAATTTTCGAATGTAGTGATTCGTAATTCAAATTTTAATTAATTTATTGAATTATGTTCGTATGTGTTTGACGAATAATAAATATTTTTTCTTATAGTTATTTTATTTCGTTTGGGATTTTTTGTCGCTGGATTGACATTATAATTGGTGAGTTTTAGTATCTATGTAATAATTGCATTAATTATCAGATTCATTTAGAAATTTATTTATACAGGTTTAGAATTTAAGTCGACCTAAATCCTTTAAGAGGTGCTAGTATCCTATAGCTAATCCTGACCGATTTGACTAAGGAAGTCCATGTTCTCAAGATATCGGTCTTTGAATTATCTGCTTTTATGGTAAATGTAGATTTTAATCGATTGCTCCCTTTTTGTCTCAATTTTGTTCTGTTTTTGTGTAGAAGAAGATTAGTTGCTGTTGCAAAACGCCAGTCTTTCGGTTACTACACGAGACTAATATTACTGTTAAGAATTTGTTGATATTTATTCATGAAGTACCTTTGCCTAACCCTTGACGGGATTCAATATATTTTTTGAATATATCTACGAAAATAAAAGAAGAAAATGTACGTTAGTAAAGAGCTCTATTTTTACGTAATATAATAGTTCTTCAACAGGAAAATATATTACAATAAAATTGTCTCTTAGTTTTCCGTTTATGGTGTAATTGCGGTGTACAAATACGAAGATGTAGGTACACGATAACTAGTGACATCGCATTTGATATTTATTGTTTGTAATGTTAGAATTATTCTTTAAATTAATATTTTTTCACAATTTAAAATGTTCACATTCGTCTATCCTTTCATTAAACGAAGTTACTTGTTTCTACACATTATACTACAATCAATCAGAGATCAAAATCTCTAAATATTTCTTTTTAAACTAGCCTCTGCCAGCGGATTCACTCGTATTCATGTGGAATAAAAAGAAACCTATCTGTTTTTTTTTTGAAACGTTGCCCCACACTAAGATTATCTCCTGTGTCATGGGTGCGTTTACAAACATACAAGTTCACATACACATGGCACCCAGACCCGAAACAACAATTTGTGGATCACACAAAGTGTTGTTCCGTGCGGGAATCGAACCATATACCCCTGTACCAAATTTCTTTCCGATTCCTTCGACTGTTTCGCCGAGATTGTTACAAACACACGGACTCACAAACTTCCACATTCGTTTTAATATATTAGAGACACATGTGCACTCTACGATAATAATCCTGTTCGGTCAGTTTTATATTATAAAACCTGAATTAATTTAAATATAGAACAAGAACTAAGAATTTATAAAAAATCACGTCTTAAAAAGTCGCGTGCTACATTATTCTAATGTCAATTTACTTACGTATCTATTTCAAATAAATATTGATTTAATATTCTTTAAAATTACATTTATTATAACTACTTAAAATAATATCTACTGACTGCCTCGTTGGCCGAGTGGTCGCAATTGCAACTGCCGCGTAAGGAGTCTCGGGGTTCGATTCCCGGGACGGGCAAAGTATTACTGGGTTTTTAAAAATTCTCAGTACTAGCACGGAGTCTGGAACTGTACCCAGTATATGGCAATAGGCTCACCCCCTATTACATGGGACTCATAAAATAAATAGTGAACAGTGGGTGTTACATTGTACAGTGGTGTAACGTGCACCTCTGCCTACCCCTTCGAGGAGCATGGTCCAAACTCCCGGTGGTTAGCAGCCCTAGCTCCAGAGACAGAAACCTCCTCACGATATGTACCGTTTCTAGGAGAACTGACTTTTGTATCAGGCCCTTGATGATGATCGCATGTGTACTAACTACTCCTAATATGGTGGTAGATTTTTTATTTTTGGGAATTTTTAAAGGGCTTTCAAAGCATGGACGCGAACTGGGAGGTGGGCGCGAACAGGCGAACTTACCCTATATTTTTATCATTGATAGAGTTATATTTTATTTAAGAAATAGGGTCGTCCTTTGTCAGATAAAATACTATAGAATAATTAATTGAGGAAAATCAGTTGCTCCATAAATAAAGACCACTTAGTATTTACCTGGTTGTGACTATAACCTAACTTACTGAAGATACCTGAGATTGTTGTTATAATAACATAATAACAATAAATGTATAGATTATTAATATTTTATTAAAGGTACTTTATACTTATAATAAAAAAGATTACAGAACATAACACCACGCCTTTTTATACCCGAAGGGGTAGGCAGCGGTGGACATTAAAATGTAACACTCACTTTTCATTATTTATGTTATGAGTACCTTGTAATAGGGGGTGAGCCAATCGCCATATACCGGGCAGCCGGGCACAATTGCAGAATCTGTCCTACTTCTAAGATTAAAAACAAATAGTAATACTTTGCCCGCCCCGGAAATCAAACCCGAGACCCCTTGCCCCGCAGTTGCACTTATGACCACTCAGCCAAACCAGGCTGTCAAAAAGATGATAAGCATTAAAAATAAAAATAATAATCAGTAATACAAAGGTTGTAGGTATTTTTTTTTAAGGGGGCAAAATCATCGAATGACTGCTCCCGCCTGGGTGAGGCGGGAGGAAGTGTCAGACTCTTACTGACTAAAAACCACCCCGTTCTTTCTCTTGCGCGTCGAGCCGAAGTCCCGGTAACTCCGCGACAGGTTGTAGGTATAGAATTTAGACTAGACTGTATAGTTTCATTATTTTATTGTCTCCCGTGTATTATTATTATTCTGTCGATACATATTATTATACTTACAGTAATCACGCTATAAAATCATAAAACTTACATAAAACCTTTAAAAACTAATTGCAATTAATTACCGACCGTAATCCAAGGGCTTTGGATCTAAAGTCCGATTTTTTATATTCGTTCGTATCTATTTGATTGCAGTCGGGATAAAGATGCACTAGAGATTCTGGATTTAAATTGATTATTTTGTTCGGCTTGATAACCAGATAACATAACATAACATCACGCCTTTTATCCCCGAAGGGGTAGGCAGAGGTGCACATTATGCCATTGTACAATGTAACACCCACTTTTCACTATTTATGCTATGAGTCCCTTGATAACTAGGTTTAGATAAACATCAGTATTTAATTTAAGTCGATGGACGTGTAGGTACCGTCCCCCATCCGTAAATATTACGTCACTAACACCATTAAAACCCACAAATGCTTAAATTTTTTAGCTTCTGAGTCCATATTAATAAGTAAAATAGTCCGATCTCAAAATGCCACTAACAAAAATTTCAAAACTATTTTAACCGACTTCTAAAAGGAGGTCCTGTATTTGACTTGTGTATGTGTGCGCTATTGTATCGCGATTAGCTGAACCGATTTTGATACGGTTTTCAGAAAAGTGTTTGAGACAGTTCTTAAAAAGGCGGGTTGAAGTCGGCTTTTATAAACGTATAAATGTGGGAGAGCCATGTATCGGCACGAATGGGCCGGCTCGACCTGATACCACGGCCTCACAGAAAACCCACATGTAACAACGCTTGCGTTGTGTTTCGTTGTGTGAGTGATGTTACCGGAAGCCTAACTACCCCTCTCCCCTCCCCAATCTCCTCAATGTCTAAATCCCCAACAATCCTCAAATTCTTAATCCCTAGATGTCCATGGACGGCGCCGATTGCTTACCATCAGGTGATTCGTCTGCTTGTTTACCGCTTATCCCAAAAAAAAGTAGTTTATAAAAGAATAGTGTTATAGTGAAGGGTCTTTCTAACAACTGACGAGAAAGGCTCATGAAGACATCAATGATGAAATGAATGGTTTGCAATCAGCAATGTTGCATGGTGTACAATCATGGGTTACATTGTACCCGCCTTGTGTTAAGTGCAGTTACGGGTTACAACCTAAAATTATCAGCACATTAACAAGAGGAAGTACTAATTATTCATTTGAGCACTACGTTTTCTAAGTATTCGTATAACCTAGGTTTTAACTACACTTACTGAGTATTCAGTCCGGTTATGTAAATGTGTTCTCCTGTCCGTCTGTCTGTATGTATCTATTACAGAAATATGCAGATGCCTGCGCAATTTCATTTAATTACCGATTAAGGCTAATAATAATTGAATCAATAATGCATTTATTTTTGATGTACAAAAGTTTAAATTGTAACTTTCGTGCGACGTACTAAATTAATTAATATGTTTTTCGTAATTATTTGACACAAACAAGTTCACATATAACTTGTTTAAAAAAATATAATAAAGATAACATTTACATGCCCCTTCTGGGGATTAGAAGTCGGTATGTGTAAATGTCTAAACATAATGCATGTTAACCTTAAACCACTTGTACGATGAAGCCAGTCCAGTGCTGCCTTGTAGGTCAGATAATCCATTTGCGCTATTTACGTGTTTTTCTTATTGAGGAAACAAATTTCCATATTATGGAGTTAAAAGTCGGATAGATAGAAAGCAGGCGATGCATGGTGTTTCACATTATTTACGAACTTTAGCGTCTTTCGTTGATTTAGCCTTTTTGAACCGGTTTTATGAATATACTGAGAAATAATGAACAGCCATGTGGGAAATCCATTTTTCACCAACGCTCCTCTTGTCACGGGTGTCGTAGAAGCAGTTTAATTGACTAAACATTTGACAGATACTGGACAGCAGCGATCTTTCATGAACGTCATCCTTTCGAAACCGCAATCTTAAAACCAAAAGAATGGCAAACCTTGGTGAACAATATGTGGATGTGGAGGATCATATATCCTGGATACCCATAGTCAAGCTGGACTAGGAATCTCACAGGCGTTAGTTTATTAATTCAGATAACTGAGATCCATCAAAATAATACGAAAGAAAGAACATGATTATACAAAACTATATAACTATTTTTTTTTATTTTTAGTCATAATCATCCCACTCCCTGCAAAGGCCTTACTACCCTCCTTCCACTCATTTCTATGTAAAGCAGTCAATCCTTGTCATACATGTTCAGTTCGACCCGCTATGTAACTGTCTGATCTGTCGATATATGAGACAATAGAATACACATTCAGTCTCGTGTAGCTCTGTGTTCCGACATACAAAGGGGTTAATATGTAAATAGTAAACAGGGACTTGGTCCGCTGCACTCATTTTCAATTTTCACATCTATGGACTATCAGCTATAGCACTCACGACACTGTTATAGCAGTCAGTGAAACAAGTGAAACAAGTGAATTTATTTCTGCAAATAGGCTACAAGGCAGCACTTTTACACGTCAATTTTATCAAGCGAACGATGAGGTCGACATTTCCTAACTGACTACTCTGAGAAGAAATGCCGAAACAAACTCAGAGGTCTGTCTCTTTTAAAGTCCAGACAAATATGTATAAAAAGATTACGTGTGAGAACCGTGCAAGTTCTTTCTGTAGTGGCCTTTTGAGGAAAGAACCACAACAGTTTGAGCGGACCCGTTCTGAAAGCAGTACGCATGTGTCGGTTTACAGTCAGCTCAATTAACAGATGAGGCTGAGTGATTCGACGAACAATACCAACCTAAAGAACATTTGCGTGGGTCGCACAAATACTCAAACTGTCAGAGTATGAGTAAGAAATAAGAAAAGAAATGGCGAGGCAAAGTCTCGCACGGTCCTAGCACTAACAATTGTAAAAAATAGAGGTAAATGTCAAGTTTAAAAAAATATAAATTTTTCAAATGAAAAACAATATCACATTATGCTAATAATGTCAAATAGCAGATAAAAAGAAATGTAACTATATGTTACAAACATGTCAACATGACCTGTGTGGACGTTACAGCGGCTTATTCCCAAGCCAGACTATCATCTAGGTAGTCTTTGATTTTATAAAAAGCTTTACTAAAAAGTTTATCTTTAATGACATTTTTAAATTTATTTAGCTCTTAAACACAGCAGATATTGGTCAAACAAGAAGCTCCCGCTACTTGTTAGTGTTTTTGAAGATGTAAAAGAAGAGAATATGAACTCATCTCCGATTCTAGAAATGTTTAGTCTAGATACATGGGTCAGTAACATTAATACTGAAAATATTATTAAGGTTAACTTGGAGTCAATTACAAAACCAAAAAAAGCGTACGAATATAATTTAATAAAAACTGAAACGATAAAAGAGTTAAGGGAAAAATATGTAGGATATTATATTGTTTACACTGATGGGTCTAAGAGCGCCAAGGGAAATGGTGCGGCTTACTACGATCCTCTAAAACCGGAAAACAACAACAATAGTTGTTTCAAAATAATTAACGCTGTATCAGTTATGTCTTTGGAACTCTTTGCAATCTCAGAAGCACTTATTTACATTCAAAATAATGACAAAAGAAAAGCTGTGATTTGTGTTGACAGCAAAAGTGCACTACAACATATAGCTCGCTGCGCCTCTGGTTACAGAGGTGCATCGATAGCTTATGGTATCCTTTCTAAGATACAAAATTTAACCAGCAATGGGTTTGATCTGAGATTGCAATGGGTTCCTTCACATATAGGCTTACATGGTAATGAGGAGGCAGACCGGTTGGCAAAATTGGGAATTGATGAGGGAAAGGAGGTAAATATTGGAACATACTACGTAGAATTATTACCAAATTACAAAAACAAATGCTATGAACTTTGGAAAGAATATTTTAATGAAAGGCCCAAGAATAAAGGAATATGGTATAGATCAATGGTATCGGAGCCTCCTCATGTACCATGGTTTTACAACACCAGGTTATCCAGGCGGCTGGTGGTGACCGCGCACAGACTGCGATCTGGACACATGCCCCTCAATAAGTTTGGGTTTCTAATGAAAAAGACCGACTCACCAAATTGTGATGTATGTGGAACACCGGAAGACGTTATACACTTGTTGTGGGAGTGTGCCAGATTTCAGTCGAACCGAGTAGAACTATTTAAGGATCTAAACTTGAATATGTATGATGTAGGTGTATTTCATTGCCTTTTATCTACACCTAATTCGGAGGCTGCCTCCAAAGTATTTATGTTTGTTAGATTACGTTTTAGTTAGATTATACCTCTATAATTATATTAGTATATAAAGTATGATGGGACTGGCGTACACGTCCGTGTAAAAGTCCCTAATAATAAATAAAGAGAAAAAAAAAAAAAAAAAAAAATTATTTAGACTCAAATTTTGGATATGGCTGGGAATTTTATTGTAAAAGCGTATACTCTGACATCTAAACGAACCACTTATTTTCTTTAGTCTAGTAGTGGGAACAACATATTTGTCTTTATTTCTCGTGTTGATATTATGTATATCACTATGCTTTTTAAATAAACTTTTGTTTTTATGAGCATATACTACATTTTCATAAATGTATTGAGAGGCAACAGTCATTACATTAATTTCTTTAAATAGTTCCCTGAGAGAGTACCTCGGACTAAGATTATAAATTGATCGAATGGCCCTCTTCTGCAAAACAAAGATAGAATCGCGCTGTATCTACATCGGTTAAATTTCTAATTTTTTTAACGGCATATGCTGCAGAACTGAGCCTTTTCGATAACTTATCTATATGTGGAGCCCACTGGAGCTTAGCGTCTAGGGTTATACCTAAAAAGACAGCAGAATCTACAGGGCCCAACTCCCCACCCTTAATTAACACGCTGGTCTTTACATGTCTAACATTTGGCGTTGTAAATTTAATGCATTTAGTTTTAGTTTCATTTAGTAGTAGATTGTTGGCACTAAACCAATGTACTATCTCCGAGAGAGCGCTGTTTACATTATCAATGACTAATTGTCTACGTTTAAGTTTGAATAACAACGAAGTATCATCCGCAAACAGTACTATCCCGTGGTTATCCTTTACAAGGTAAGGCAAGTCATTTATATATATAAGAAACAAAAAAGGGCCGAGAATTGACCCCTGCGGAACCCCCATCCTGACAACAGACCCGGCGGAGACTTTTCCGTTTATCTCGACTCTCTGAATCCTGTTACTCAAGTATGAGGTAAGAAGATCCAGAGATTTACCTCTTATTCCATAGTGGGATAGCTTCCTGATCAATGTATCATGAAGGACACAATCGAACGCCTTGGATAAGTCACAAAAAATGCCCAAAGCGTCGCTTGAGTCCTCCCACGCGTCATATATGTGATTAAGAAGTTCAACACCGGCATCAGTTGTTGAACGACCCCTGGTAAAACCAAACTGGCTACCATGTAACAATTTATTTCTATTAAAAAATCTTTGCATTTGATTTAGAATATTTTTTCAAAAATTTTACTAAATGTAGGCAGTACTGAAATAGATCTAAAGTTAGTGGGGTCAGAAGTACTACCTGATTTAAATAACGGAGTTATTTTACTATTTTTCATAAGATCAGGAAACACACCGCGGTCGATACAGTTATTAAAAATTAGAGCTAATAAAGGTGCTATAATAGCTATAACAGAGCCGGCGATGTACACAGAATTACCCACAAATCTGCAGTCTTTTCTTATTTAAGGTATGGAAGGTTTTGAAATATCTATATAATCTATGTGTTCAAAAGAGAACCCTATGGCAAGCTGTAACATTTTCTTTTAGTAAAGATTCTGCAACAGTGGAGAGGAATTCAATGACTTTCGTGGATATAGGAATGTCCGAAAAGAAACTTTCAAATGCAGCTGCAACTTCTGCGTCTGATTTTATTACATTATTATCAATTAGAAGACTATATTCATTACTTCTCTTTTTAGACCTTCCCGTCTCACTGTTAATAATACTCCAGGTCGCTCTGATGACATTGGTACTGTTCTTTATTTTGGAGCTCAAGTAACGCGACTTTGCAATAGCGCAGACCTTTTTAAACAATTTAGAATATTTCCTAACATATATATTAAATTCAATTGTGTTAATAAATGTCCTCTCATTATAAAGCTCATAGAGGCGTTTCCTACTTTTATAGATGCCAGTGGTTGCCCATTCATTAAAAGACACATTGCCATTAACTGGTATAGTTTTAGGTGTAAAGGTAGATTCAAACTCGGTATGGTACATATTAAAAAATTCATCATACAAATTATTAGGATTTTTATTCATCAACAAAGGTAATTTTTGAGTGACTTTAGTTTTGAAGGTTTCAATGCGTCTTTCAGTCTTTGGGTTAACAGTGACAAATGGTTTAGATATTGTATTTACATGATTTGTTATTGAAATTAACTGTCCGCAGTGATCTGAATCAAGCAATGATATAATTTGTTTCTTAACTGGTACAATGTCAGTATAAATATTATCCAGGCAAGTGGCACTAGTGGGAGTTATCCTAGTGGGCTCCAGAAATAAGTTCGTGAGGTTAAAAGAGGCAAATAAACTTACAATTTTAGTGCTTATACTAGAATTTTCTAACAAATTAACATTAAAATCGCCACATGTAATGATGAATTTATTTGAATTACTGAGTTTATTTAATACTTCATCTATTACTGTTTCAAAACAGTCATACAAACCAGAAGGTGGTCTATACACACTTAAAACAATAAACCGCTCCAATTCCACACAAGCTAATTCAACAGTGCGTTCAACAGAGTAACTAACTATATCCTTGCGTTCT